GAACTGCTTCATTTTCACAGTGTCTGTTGTTTTTAAAAATACAGGGTGATTTTTAATGTCACAATACAGGTTAGCCTGGAGCGCATTCTGTACTAATGAAGTTGATTGTATTAAGAAAAGGATAATGCTTCCAAATTCCATTCACTTTCAGCTGCACTGTATCTGTGCAAAACAAACAAAGAAACAGGGTGCTGAAAAGCTTCTCTTGATAAGGCAGTGTTGGAGTAAGTGTTGCATGTCTGATTTGAAGAGCAAAGTGTAGCACAAGGAGTGTTACCCTTGCTTGTGCAAACACAGTGCATGCTAAAAGCAAACGAAGGTAGACAAATAGCTACAAATACTGCTGGATAAACTGCACTAGTTAAAAAAAAAAAACAAAACCCCACAAAAACCTCCAGATTCATAGCTACAGTATTTTATGTGGTTATAAGCATTTATTTACCAAAAAATACTTCTAACATATGCTAACTGAAGAACATGCATGTAACAGCACACAGAACAACACGGTGTTTTAGCGTGTGCACTCTTTTAGTAATATACTTACCATGCTTTTTAATATTTCAGAGCCACGATAAAAAAGAAAAAGAAATTTCCCATTACACAATGTCAACTTACAAAACTCTCCAACGTTCACAAGTTCAAGGATGCAATCAGAAAGATGCTTGTGCTTGGCACTGGAGATATGACCACCCACAGGCAATCTGACATACCTTCCAAGTTTAAAGTTGGACATTTTTTGCTGACTAACCTGTGGACTGGATTTTAAACTCAAAATAGCTCTTGTTCTGATGCAAAGGTGCATTGGCTAAGCAGCCTCCCGTGCCACATATTCTTCTGCCGTTTTTAACAATCACAACATCTGTTCCTGCAAGAAGAAAAACACCCGCAAAACTTCAAAACATTTTTAGAAGTCTGGAAGCAGCCCTTAAAAGCCCTAAACATTGAGAACCGGTTTTGTTCTTTCTGCCCAAGTAAGAGCTTCATTAGTCTGTGAGAATTACGATGATGGGCCACACTTTGAAGTAAGAAAAGGAAGGCTGTTTATGGGCTAGTTCATCTTTCAACTAGGGTTTATTTATTTAAAAGCTATACGCTGCTCTAATTTCACCTCTTGGGTTTCACGGCACCATGCTGATTACAACCTTTGCTCAGCCACATCAGAAGCATAACTTACTATTTAGTCAGAAAGGGTTCACTGCGAGACCAGAGCCCTGTACCCTGTCTCTACACACTGGAGGGGAAAAAAGTCTGCAAAGAGAAGAAAAGGCACGTTGGGTAGAAACACTGGATGGAATTGCAAGGTGTTTAATTATTCTCTGAAAAAATCCTTTTATTAGAAACATGCCTGCCAAACGGGGGGGGGGAAGCCTTCTGCCAAGTTTTCCTTCTCCAGTGGAACACTTCATCTTTAGGCACCCTTGTCATGGTCAGGAACACGGGAAACTGTCAAAGTTCCCCGATACGAAGGAATAAAACCAGGCTAATGATGGTGCTCGAGTGGTGGGCCCTGTTCGGCCACACCGCCCTCCCCCCAGCTCTGTCCCCCACTCTGCTGCAGCTCACCCAGATCCCTTCTTTCTCAGCAACGCCCGGGCACAGCTTCGTGGACAGCTCATCCTCAACACGTGGTACGGACCAGGCTCCCCTGGCTCATCCTGCATGCTCCCTGCTGTAACCCTCTGCTCTGAATCACCATCCCCTGTGGGATGACCAAGATCTCCAGCCCCCTCAGGCTGCCTTCCCCCCTCAGGGATGCCCTCTGAGAGCGAGGCACAGCCCTACACACTCATTCTGCTGATAAGCCTCAACGGGATTTAACCCAAAGTCAGATTTTTTTCCTGAAAAATTCCACAGAAGTAGCCCCAAAGCGGCTTCCCCAGCGCACTTCACTGGCAGGAGAGAG